TTGAAGATCCATCAAATAAGCTAATGTGGATGAAATTACTTTATAAGCTTAAAGATATTTGACAAACAAGAGTTATCATTGTCAGCATTGTCAACACCTTCAGTCCTTAGGAATGTTGGCTTTGATGTCCTACAGACTGGATGGACTTATTTTCTGGCTGTGTAATCCTTTGCAAACTCCACATCCTATTTTCTTTTTGCTTCAATTTCCTCATCTGTAAATTATGTGCATACTTCATGTACTTACTGTAGCTCATCAATAAGATGATATATTCAAAGCAGTAGCATGGAATAGGTCTTCAATAAACTGTGATAATAGTTACTAATAGTCCTAGAATCAGTAGTAGATAAAATGGAACCTGGTGACCAACAGTACGGTGGTCAGGACTGAATTAGATAAGGATTGTACTGAGCTAGAACAATGGTTCATATCAAATGATCCTCAAATACAGCTTCCTCTGATATTGTTTTCTCTTGATGGAGTTAACAAAAGGAGGATGCTTTCTGGGGCAACCAACTAGTCCTCTATGTTTGTCCAGGACTTTCCTGCTTTCAAAATGGAACATCCCACTTCCCACTTCCAGGAAACTCCTTCAGTCCTGGGCACGTTGGAGTTGGGCATGGTCTGTGGGAAGTTGGGCTTTGAAACCTGTAAAATTTCATATATGGAATTGTACATGCCACTGTCAACAGTGGCATCATCACCTTGGGTGGCAATGGTCTGACCTAGGAGTACCATAACAAAGCATCCACTGTGACATGTGCAGACCCAGGTTTGAGTCCCAGCTGTACCATCTTGGTGGAAAACATTTAACTTAAAAGAACCCCGGTTGTAAAATGAGCCTAAATAAGCCTACTTCACATCATTCTGGGACTGAAGTTAAGAAGATGACTAAGGCTTCCTGAACTATCAGGGGTGCGGGGATTCTGAAAGTCACTCAGGGCAGAGTGAGCTGTGAATGAACTGTCCGGGCATCATGTAGGGGACCTGAGCACTGTTATTACAACTACAATGTCTTGGCCTCTGCCAGGGGCTTGGGGACCACTAATCTACATTGACTTCAGGCTAGACTCTCTAGAGGATCATGAATATTAAATCAAGACCCTCCTCATGATGGATAAGAGAGCCAGATTGTATTTGAGTGAAAGTCGCTCAATCGGGTCCAACTCTTTGCAACCCTATGGATTGTATCCTGCCATCTCCTCTGCCCATGCAATTCTCCAGGCCAGAATACTGGAGTGGGTAGCTGTTCCCTTCTCCAGGGGATCTTCCCAACCCAGGGATCGAACCCAGGTCTCTCACACTGCAGGCAGATTTTTTTTATCATCTGAACCACCAGGGAAGTATTTGGCTGAGAGTAAGGAAGAGGCAATAAGGAATAGGGGAGGAGATGTGTGTGTGTGTGTGTGTGTGTGTGTGTGTGTGTGTGTGTGTGTGTTGACCAATGTCTCCAACCTCTACCACTCAGGTCTTACCTGGAAATTCTGACCATTCTCCGATCTTGTCACCATCACCAGGTGTTGGGTCTGCCTCACTTGTTTGGTTTGCCTACCTGTCTTCTCCTAAAGAGGACTGGCTAGAACCTCAGTTTTCTTCCTTCCCTGTAACAGCAGCACAGACTAAAGACCCAGGGCTGGAGCAGTCTGTCCTCAGGTACAGAGGCTGGGAGGAGTTGTGGGCTTTTCATATGGAGTACCTCCTGGGACTCACTCCCTGATCTCTTAGTTAGAGACAAGATGGGGCAAAAGTCCAGCCTCTCAGCTGTCCCCTTGGGGCCCTGGAGTCCTGAGTCTAGTCCTGAGTTCAGTCAGACTGAACAGGCCTGGGAATCCTGATAGCACTGTACCCGATGCCCTTCCCCTGGGTATAGGAGGGAGAGAGTTCCATCAACCCCAACCCTAATCTACCATGAAGTCCACACGCTCTAACTCAAATCCTTATAAAGAACACCTATCATGTTCCAGAAAATAAATAGTAACAAATGAAACTAAAGAGATTTGATGAAGTGTGGGCCATGCAATCATTGTCTTCAAATTTCTACAGTTCGATACATAGAACAGGTTGTTCTCTGTGACTCCAAAGGGTAGAGATAAAGCTTATTTGTAAAAATCTGCTAAGTAAAAGGGACACTTGTATATACAGGATTTTCTTTATATTTATAAAATTTTGAAGTACATCATATATGAAGAAGAGTTTATAAGCTATATGGGAATAGTTTTCTTATAGTTTTGCTATGCTAGAGTAAAAAGTGGCAACCTGCTCCAGTGTCCTTGACTGGAAACTTCCATGGACAGAGGAGCTTGGTGGGCTACAGTCCATGGGATGGCAAAGAGTCAGACACTACTGAGTGTACACACACAAACACACACACATATAGCAGCAACTCTGCACACATGCATAACTTGTGTATTGTTTCCCTATTTTTGTCTTTCACATGACTGGAATCATTTTGCTTCTTTCACTTCTTTCTTTCTGAACTGTTTATATTAGTACTTTCTCATTTCTATTAGTGCTTGTAGCTACAGGTCATCTTTTTTTTTTTAATTGAAGTACAGCTGATTTATAATGTGTTAATTTCTGCAGTACAGCAAAGTGATTCAGTTGAATTTTAGAACTGCAGCTAAGGGAGTGTGGACTCTAATTATATTGTGTGGTTGTACTATATTATCCATTTTTATCTTTTTTTCCTTTTTGACTGAGCCATGCGACATGTGGAATCTTAGTTACCAGACCAGGGATCAAACATGTGCCTCCTGCAGTGGAAACACAGAGTCTTAACATTGGACACCAGGGAAGTCCCTCCATTCCGATCTTAGTGGACATTTGAGTTTGTTGCCAGGTTTTTTGGCATTTCCTCCCAATACGTTCTTTATCTCAGGTAGAACTCCTCTTTTTGTCATTAAAAAATGAGGAAAAAAAGACATTTTCCATTGTTAACTTTTTCTTAAAATCATTTCTGCAGGGAAATTGGAAAAACTTTCAGACCATCATCCTCTAAAGAGAACAACTCCACAATAACAATCATTTATCATTCTTTTGTTCTACTACTGATATTTTAGTGACAGCCTAGCCTTTATTACTTTAGCAGAAAAGGCTAGAGAATTGGAATTTTCCTCCTTATTTCTTTTGTACTAAGTTGTTAGATTGTTTCATAGGTGAGACAGGAAAAACACAATAAATGAGGTCAGAACATCAGTTTATTCCATTTGGAATGTCTGCACTCATGAATTTTTGTACAGTATCCTGGTGTGCCTGTTCAATTTTCCATAGGGTATCTACCAATGAGTAGAATTGTTTGCAAGTTATTGGTTAATGAGTTAGTTTGGGTCTTCTGAGAAGCAGATGCCAAGGTGGGATTTGGTATGTGAGATATTTGTTGAGGAGGTGGCAAGAGAAATCAGAGAGAACTTTCAAACCTTGAGACCTGTGGAAAAAAAGAGAGAAGAAAAAAGGATGGGATAGGAAGACTGCAGCAAAGTGCCAAGAAAGTTTTGACTAGGCCAATGCAGTGTTGAGTGGTGGGGATGGTGTCCTAGAATCAAAATCTTCCACCAGAAGAGTCCTGTAACTCTCTGGAAATAAGCCTGCCTTGGTATCCCTGGCATGCTTAATTGTTGGCTAGGAGAAGCTTGTATAAGCATGGCTTCTGTATTCACTGAAAAAAAGAAGAAGCAGAACCCAAAAGTTGCGAATTATGTTTTATTGGGCAGAAATATGTATGTGTGTGCTCAGTTGCTCAGTTGTGTCCTCTTTGCGAACCTGTGGACTGTAACCCACCAGGCTCCTCTGTCTGTGGAATTTTCCAGACAAAAATACTGGAGTAGGTTGCCGTTTCCTTCTCCAGGAGATTTTCCTGACCTTAGGGGTTGAACCCATATCTCTTGCATCTCTTGTATTGGCAGGTGGATTCTTTACCACTAGCTAGTATAGTGAGACGGAGAAGGTAATGGCGCCCCACTCCAGTGCTCTTGCCTGGAAACTCCCATGGACAGAGGAGCCTGGTAGGCTGCAGTCCATGGGGTCACTAAGAGTTGGACACGACTGAGTGACTTCACTTTCACTTTTCACTTTCATGCATTGGAGAAGGAAATGGCAACCCACTCCAGTGTTCTTGCCTGGAGAATCCCAGGGACGGGGGAGCCTGGTGGGCTGCCGTCTATGGGGTCGCACAGAGTCAGACACGACTGAAGTGACTTAGCAGCAGCAGCAGCAGCAGCATCAGCAGCAGCAGCAGCAGTATACTGAGAACTTAAACCTGGGAGGCATCTTTTAGGTAGCTCTGAGGGACTGTTTCAAAGAGATACGGGAAGATTTGTGAGTTGACCTGTGTAACTAATACTTAAAACACCTGACTCAGTAAGTTTCTCCTTACTTTCCATAATGACATGTATTGCACAGCCCTGGTCATGCATGTGTCACACAAGAGCCAGAGACTATGAAAGGAAAAGAAAACCGTGTGTGTAATACAGAGGGTCATCGATACTCATGTCTTACTTGTTTTTGCCAAAAGTATAACAACCTTGTATTGCAGGCATCTCCTTTCCCTTACTGAGCTGTGATTAATTTTGAAGACAGGAGCTACCATTGATTTAGCCTTGCGATATTTTCATATTTTGCCATTATGCAACTGAATGCAATTCCTAGCACAGAGCAGATGTTTCATAAATTCTTTTTTTTTTAAAGTATTTATTTATATTTGGCTGCACCAGGTCTTAGTTGTGGCATGTGGGATCTAGTTCTCTGACCAGGGATCGAACCTGGGTCCCCTGCTTTGGGAGTTCAGAGTCTTGTCCACTGGATCACTAGGGAAGTCCCTGTTTCATAAGTTCATATTGAATGAATGAATGCTGAGGTGAACTCTAGAAGTTATGCTAATATGTCTTCCTCATCAGTTTTTTCATAGCCTGTTTCATGTCCTTGTTCCTAAGGCTATAGATAAAAGGGTTCAGCATGGGGATAACTACTGTATAGATGACAGTGATCACACGGTCCTTCATCACTGAGTAGGTGGATGAGGGGCGGATGTACACAGATATTATAGTTCCATAGAATAGTGCCACAACCGTGAGGTGGGACCCACAGGTGGAGAAGACCTTGTACCTGCCTCTCCCAGAAGGGACTCTCAGAACAGCACAGGTGATATAGACATAAGAGACGATAATGAAGATGAAGGGACTCATGATCACAAAGGAGCCCTCTGTGAAGGCCAAGAGCTCGTTGACAGAGGTGTCAGAGCAGGAGAGCATCAGCAGAGGCTGGACATCACAGAAGAAGTGGTGGATGATGTTGGGCCCACAGAAGGAGAGGCGGGCCATGAGGACGGTGTGGGTGAGTGAGTGGAGGTGGGACACCAGCCAGGATGCTGTCACGAGCTGGAGGCAGCGTCTGGGGTTCATGGTGGTGGTGTAATGTAGTGGGTGGCAGATGGCCACATAGCGGTCCAAGGCCATGGCAGCCAGGAGGAAGCTGTCAGTGATCCCAAAGGCCACAAAAAAATACATCTGGGCCAGACACTGGGAGAAGAGGATGGCCTTTCTCTGAGTCAGCATGTTCACTAACATTTGTGGCACGATGACAGTTGTAAAGCAGATGTCCACCAGGGACAGGTTGGAGAGGAAGAAGTACATGGGGGTGTGGAGGTGGACATCCCCCTGGATGGCTGCAATGATGACTGAGTTGCCACCCACATTGACCAGGTACATAGCCAGGAAGCTGGCAAAGAGCCACACCTGCTGTTTGAGGTCATTGGTCAGTCCCAGAAGGAGGAATTCAGTGATGTGGCTCTGGTTTCCCCTCATCAGTGATCTCCTGCAAATAAAAAATATAAAGGAATATTAGGTGTGTATTGTATGGCTTGGGGTCTTCAGTCTGGTAGAGGAGATACTGCATAATTTATTCCAGCTTGTGCATCCCATGAGGGGAGTCATTCATGTAGACCACCATATAGTCTATGATATAACTTCATATGGTTGGTCTTGGCACACCTTGATTTCAATTCCAACTTTGTGTCTGACTCGTCTTGAACAGGGTGCTTCAATTCCTGTTCCTTGTCCAAAAGATAAACCTTGTAATATCCATATTCTTTGGGTAAATGGTAAAGGTTTAAAAAAAGTGTTCAGAAAGGATCAGTTTGCTTGATTTCCCAAGCTGTATCTAAGATATCCTTTTTCTGTGTCTGGCCTCAGTTATTAATCAGCATGCTAATCTTCAGGTGCCTCCTGGCCAGATGATTCTGGTGATGGACACCCAGTTCCATCAGGGTGGGGAACTGTCGAGGGTGAGTGGCAAATTGGAAAAATGTCTCTGGTAGAGGGAGACTATTTAACCAACATTGAATTTGGTTGTTTAGGTAGGTGGATGGACATCAAAGAACAAATAGAGGAACTAAGAGGCAGGTGCTTTTATAGGCAAGAAGCATCTGAAGGGTGGTAGTGTGGACCACGGAAATGTGAGAAGATGCAGCATTCCGGCAAAAAACAGTGACCTGAGTAGGAAGGTGCTGAGACTCAGGAATAGGTCATTTCTGTCCCCCAAAGGCAAGAACAGGGAACTCTGAGCCAAGGCTCCAGTCTGGTAGGAATCGATGCCCTAGTCATCTATCTACCAAGTTGGGACTCAGTTAAAAGGGAGCAAGACCAGAACTGATTAGGACATAGAGTTTGAAGCAGCCAGCAGCCATCTGGGTCGATAGTGGGACCACTGAGTTAGAGAACATGCACTCCCTTTGTCCACCCTTCCTAGGGATAGGATTATCTTCAGAAAAAACAGCAGAAAGGAAAGCCTACAAGTGGTGGTCAAGTACTCCCAGAAAAGGGAGGGTGGAGTTAGAGGTGCAGATTTTGAGTTAGAGGAAGTCCACATCCTGTGGGCTTCCCAAGTGGTGCCAGTGGTAAGGAACCTGCCTGTCAATGCAGGAGATGTAAGAGGCGTGGGTTTGATCCTTGGATTGGGAAAATCTCCTGGAGGAGGGCATGGCGACCAATTCCAGTATTCTTGCCTGGAGAATCCCCATAGCCAGAGGAGCCTGACCGGCTACAGTCCATGGGGTCACAAAGAGTCGGACATGACTGAGGTGACTTAGTGTGCATGCATGGCACATCCTGTATGCCTTGTATCCTCAGAATCTTTCTGATACTTTTGAAGGGTCAAAAGCAAACAGAATTACTAATGATACATTTTTGATGCTTAGTGATCTTGAATGAAAGTCACTGCCCTGCTTAGGAGAACTCAGACTTTTAATTTTTCCTTTAATACACTAACATGTAGGTGCATACAGTAGCATTGTTTTCTGAAGCATTTCCTTTCTCTCTGAGATACTTAGTTCAGTTCAGTTCAGTCGCTCAGTCGTGTCTGACTCTTTGCGACCCCATGAACTGCAGCACGCCAGGCTTCCCTGTCCATCACCAATTCCCGGAGTCCACCCAAACCCATGTTCATCGAGTCGGTGATGCCATCCAGCCATCTCATCCTCTGTCGTCTCCTTCTCCTGCCTCCAATCTTTCCCAGCATCAGGGTCTTTTCAAATGAGTCAGCTCTTCGCATCAGGTGGCCAAAGTATTGCAGTTTCAGCTTCAACATCAGTCCTTCCAATGAACACCCAGGACTGATCTTTAGGATGGACTGGCTGGATCTCCTTGTAGTCCAAGGGACTCTCAAGAGTATTCTCCAACACCACAGTTCAAAAGCATCAATTCTTCGGCCCTCAGCTTTCTTTATAGTTCAACTCTCACATCTATACATGACCACTGGAAAAACCATAGCCTTGACTAGACGGACCTTTGTTGGCAATGTTTCTGCTTTTTAATATGCTGTCTAGATTGGTCATAACTTTCCTTCCAAGGAGTAAGTGTCTTTTAATTTCATGGCTGCAGTCACCATCTGCAGTGATTTTGAAGCCCAGAAAAATAAAGTCAGCCACTGTTTCCACTGTTTCCCCATCTATTTGCCATGAAGTGATGTGACCGGATGCCACGATCTTAGTTTTCTGAATGTTGAGCTTTAAGCCAACTTTTTCACTCTCCTCTTTCACTTTCATCAAAAGGCTCTTTAGTTCTTCTTCACTTTCTGCCATAAGGGTGGTGTCATCTGCATACCTGAGGTTATTGAGATGCTCAGTGCTTGGTCCAAATTGAAAGGGACCACTAGGACATGGACACCACCTGGAGATTTTATGATGAAAGCACTACTAAGGCAGGGTTCAAGTCTGTTTCACTCCCCATTGTTTTAAGTGACTTGCATAGGACTTGGCTAATCATAGCCGCATAATGAATCCTGACAGATTGAACCAGATACATTATCCCTGATCATCCCTTGCAAGACTGTGAGTTTTACACTAGCAACTTGGAGACTAGTCTCCAGGGATCAGGAGAGTCGATGGGAAAATTTGGTGATTTGGGAATTGGTTCTTGTTCAGATACTTGCTACTTCCCCTGGGAATATTTCTATGTTTCCATCTATGTTCTCACCTGAAAAATGGGAAAAACAAAATATCATTTCTAGAAGTTTATTATTCAGTTCAAATAAGATGGCATATTTGATAGTGGTGAGGTTGTACAACATTATGAATGTACTGAATACCACTAAACTGCACACTTAAAAATGGTTAAAATGGCCATTTTATGCTACATGTATCTTACCATAATAAAAAAGAACATATTGTTATTAAAAAAAAGATGGCATATTTGAAAAGTGTTTGAGATCTACACTCAAGTCGCATGGGCAGAGGAGCCCAGTGGACTATAGTTCATGGGGTTGCAAAGAGTCAGACATGACTGAGCGAAATTTACAAGGTTCTATGCAAATGTTATTTATACTACTATTAATATTTCTTGTTAGTATTCTGTACCAAAGTGGGTACAGCTGAAAAATAGTAGATGTAGTCTAGAGGGAGTCAGGCAGAAGGTAAGGGGGCTAGTGTGTTTAGGGGGAGGAGATTGAAGTGGTCATCGGACGGCAGGTATGTGCTAAGCTGGAGGTGAGGAAAGAACAGCCGAGTGCATACCTAGGTCTTTCCAGGGAAACAAGGTATTAATTAATGGAAAAAATAGAAATGGTAATCAAAACCATTTCCTCTCAAAAAACCTCGGCCCCAAATGGTTTTTTTTTTTTTCCAAATGGTTTTAAGGTAAATTATACCAAAGTTTCAAGAAATTTCATGATAGAATAATCCTGCTCCTACATGGATATCCCAGAGAAATTTCCATCCAGGAAGATAAAAGCTTATGGATGAAGATATTCTTATACACTCATTCATGGCCATGGGGGAGCTCGTGACAACCTGGGTGTCCATCACTGGGATGGCAAATGTGACAGAAGAGTACTGAGGGGTACAAGGCACCTGTTTATTTACTTATTTAATTTTATTTTTCGGCCAGGCCATGGGGCATGTGGGATCTTAGTTCCCCCATCAGGGATCGAACCTGTGTCCCTTGCATTGAAAGGTGAAGTCTTAACCACTGTACCACCAAGGAAGTCCCCAGTGCAGCTGTTTAGAAGCAACTGATGAGAAGTATTAAAACAACACTGGTATATATTGAGAACATAATCTGAGTGAAAAAGTAAAACAGTAAATGAGATCTATAACGCAAAATGGTTTATATACATTAAAAATGCAACACAGTGGTATTCATTTCATAATGTATATCAAAACATCACATGATATAGCTTAAAATATTTAAAAATGCAACAAATCAGGAAGTCTGTCTATACACAAAGTTAAACATTAAGCATGTCACCATGGATGAGGGCAGGAGGAGTGGGGCATTGGTATATAAATTCATGTGTGATTGAGGAAGCAAATAAAATAAGAAAGGGGCCCAATGTTGGCAATATGAACTGAGGTGTGTGGTTAATTGAATCTTCTGCATCTGAACTCTATGAATACTGTATCATAGGAAAAGAATACTGTATCGTCTTAACTTGAACTCAGGGGACTTCTCTTCCTTCTACTTCTTGGAGCATGAACCCATCAGGAACACAGATGCCAGGTTATCCATCTGCAGCCTTGCTGGTAAACAGTGCCCACTGCCTCCTAAACTGTGTCCCTTGATCCTTCATAAACAAAACTGGATTATGTCTATGTCTTGGATTAAAATGCCAGAGCCAAGGATTCTACTAAACCTGGCAGTACCAGCATCCTCCATTAGCTGACTTTACTCTTTGCTAGTGATGATAGTTATGCTTTTCCTTCATAGTTTGATTCACTGATTCATAATTCACTCAGCACATTTTCACTGCATGCCAACCAAGGGGCTCAGAAGAACCACTATAGCCATTCTGTTTGAAAATAGCAACATGTCCCCAGGCTTATTCTCTGGATGAAAGTTTCCCCAGTCTCTTCCAAACCTTACCCAGTAGGATTTGGCATCATTCCACCATCTATAGCCACCTTTTTGAACTACTGGTTGGCATGGCTGAAGCCCCTTATGTGATGGCCAAGTATTTCCTTTTAGACAGTAAATTTCTGGGGGAAATTTGTAAAATTTTAGGTTGCTGATGATGGAAATGATCTTAA